GGAAGGGGAGGGAGGGGAGGGAGGGGAGGGAGGGGGGAGGAAGGGGAGGAGGAGAGGAAGGAAGGAAGGAAGGAAGGAAGGAAGGAAGGAAGGAAGGAAGGAAGGAAGGAAGGAAGGGAAGAAAGAAGGAGCTCAGGGGACTGCTGGTGATCTACCTCTGGACCCCAGCTTCCTGATCCCTCCTTGGAGCCTCCCTTTACACAGGCTCCATGCTCTGATCTTGACACTGACACCAGTAGGGGTGCCAGGGGCTCCCAGACCATCCCCTGAGAAGGCTCCTATGCTTAATCACCCTCCAGTGGAAACCACTGAACCGCCACTCCAACGGCCAAGCCATCAACCCCGCGCTGAACTCAGTTTACAGCCACACCTTAAATAAATGAAACTCCCCTTCTCTGTAAATAATACAGAATTTCTATAAAGCTGCCTGGAAGTGTTACCACAAGTAGTTTCCCCAAATCACCAAAGTGTCAGAGAGGCCACTAGGTTCTCTGGCGAGAAGTCCTCAGTTCAGAACCTATCTCTACCAGTCGTCAGCTTTACAACCTCCTGCAGGCTCACAGCCCTGTCTCTAAAATAGCGCAGTGATACCCACACCGTCCGCTTGAAGAGTGCCACAGGGAGAGCCCTGGCATAGTCCTTGGATCCTGATAGATGCGTGAAAATTCCCTCTCTGCAGGTTAGGACTGGTTTGCAAAGTAATGAAAAATGCCAAGGAGACTGGGAGTGTTTTAGATTGTCATTCAGGAATAAAAACGACTAACTCGGCTGGGCGCGGTGGCTCATGTCTGTAATCTCAGCACTTTGGGAGACTGAGGCAGGTAGATCACCTGAGATCAAGAGTTCGAGATCAGCCTGACAAACATGGCAAAACCCTGTCTCTACTAAAAATACAAAATTAGGCTGGGCGTGGTGGCTCATGCCTGTAATCCCAGCACTTTGGGAGGCCGAGGTGGGTGGATTACCTGAGGTCAAGAGTTCAAGACTACCCTGGCCAACCTGGTGAAACCCTGTCTCTATTAAAAA